ATTTTACTGTTTTTGTCACTTTTATGAAATGAAGAACGCGCAAAACGGCTATCGTTAGATCGGTATAGTCAATATGAACTGGCCGAAATAGATATTCCGTCTGTGTTTACTTCAAAATTATGAAATATCCCACAGAAAAACTCTTTGTGTAAAAAAGTCAAAAGCTGGTGTATATCAACAATTGCAATAGTCAGAAAGGAAATGAACTTGACAAACAATACTGTATGTATATAATTAAGTTATTCACAGCAAAATCCACATTAGTTGATAACCCATTCATTTGACAGCCATAACAAGGATCATACAAACTCAAACCTCTCTAAATATTTACTATTATGGTGTGTAAAAGTCAAATATTGAATCAAACTCGAAAGTGGACCTAACCCCGCTTTGTTGAAAAATTAAAGATACCTTGGTGTCGGAATGGAGGTAAGATTGTAAAGACCCCCAACAATACAACACCTGGTACGACCTAGAATTCTCAGCCGATCACAACTTCATTCATATCAAGTAAACTGTAAATTCTAGCATTCAACACTATCAAATTACAAAATTATCACCCAAACAGTGGAGGGTAAACACACATGCATAAATATACATGTAGTTAAAAAGTCAGGTCTGTTCCAGCTTATACATATCTCTAACCTGCCCACTTCTCAGGTATTTATCATGCTACACTACTGAAACAAACTCTACAGTAAGAAAACATATTACTTAGACATTTAACTCATTCACCCCTGAAATTTCATAATGAACTGTTCCAACCATTGAATTGGAAGAGTTCAAATGTGTCTTCAGGGGTGAATGAGTTAAGACTGAATAATGACTGAATTTAAGACTGAATGAAAAAGTATATGAAAGGAGGAAACATATAAAGATAAGATCACTTATAAAGTAATTCTCAAAATTGTTTACAGTTAATTTAAACAAAACCAAGGGATATAATCCTAGCACTACAGGTATTATGTGAAGTGTTAGATATACCCTTAACTCGAACACAAATCACAGCCATAACGTGTAGACTGTTACAGGCAGCACTACTTGAACAGTACATAACAGTAAAACACAAGAAATACTAAATGAAAAAGGGCAACAGACTAACTCTGAGCATGAACTACACTTCCTGAAGTATATTCTTTTACTGATGATTTAATATTCTAAAACTCTGGTACATGTACTCTTTTAAGCTCTGTCCCACTGCACTGCCATTTTTCCTATATACAGTAACTCCCATTAAGTTCCGTTTTGATATAGCTATAGAACATTTGGGTTAGTACAGTTCCGTTGTCCAGGTAGCTCAAGTGGTTTCATTAATGGTATAACAATCTTAAGTTCAGTGTTTTCTGTCTTATAACCCTGCAGAATATTTTACACTCGGAACATATTTGTTGAATATATTTTATTTATTTCATCTCCATTATGTTTTCATAAAAGTCCTGCAAGGTCTACTTTTCCTTTTCTTTTCAGAAATAATTTATCAAAGCTATTGTCATGCCAGAAATTGAGTTTTGAATGTATAGTTAAAATTTTTGGCAGCGGTACGGGGATCCTTATGGGTACAAAATGTTGATTTCCAGAAATATATCTTTTAGATCTTAACCAGGAAGAACTTTCAAACAAAACTAATTAAGTTCAAAACTTTCAATATCTATTGTCCAGATCTAGAAACATTAATTTCATTTAAACATCCATTTAAACAATTTATAGATTATTCTCCATAAACATTACCACCTGTAAACAAGACAGGCTTAAAATTGACAATATACACAGCTATAATTAACCAAATTAACAACCTGCCCGATACTTTCTTAATCTCATTCACCCCTGAAATTTCATAATGAACTATTCCAAACTTTGAACTGGAAGAGTTCAAATGTGTCTTCAGGGGTGAATAAGTTAAAAAATGTGATTAAGTTATTATTTATTTTTTTAATTCTAAAAAAAAGTACAGCCATTATAATGCACGTTTATTCAAGCAATTCAGTAAATTATTATCAATGAATGGGACACTTGAACCAGGAATAAGGATTTAGGTGTTTTTAGCGAATGGGGTGGATTTAGGTCAAATACAGTATATTCTATTTGAAAAATATGTTCTTGAACAAGAAAATGGAAATAGGTTGATGATCTTGATTGTTAGTTAATATAAATTAATGCAGACTTGGATGGTATTTTACCTAAGTGACCTTTAATTTGCAATAGATGATCAACAGAGAAATAAGACGAAGTTATATTCCGTCAAAACATTTTAATAGCAGAATTGTCTGATGATTTGTGTATTTCACAAACCACATCAAAAAAGAAAAAAAAAACACTTTAATTTCATTTTTGGNAAGTTATATTCCGTCAAAACATTTTAATAGCAGAATTGTCTGATGACTGGTGTATTTCACAAACCACTTAAAAAATGGAAAAAAAACAACTTTAATTTTGTTTTTGGTTAATTGCAATACCTGTCTGGCCTTAATGATTTTTTTTTTTTTTTTTTTCAAAACATTTTTGCTGTTTTAAACAAAAATATTAAATATTTTATTTATACCCTCTGTGTAATTGTTTTTCATTAAGTGTCCACAAGGTCTGGGTTTCTTTAAAAAAAATATTTATAAAAGCTATTGTCATGCCAGGATATTTTTTTTTTTAAATCATAGTTAAAGTTTTATCAATAGTAAGGGTATCCTTAAAGCTACCTTGAACCTTTGTGAAACAACTCGGTGAGAGAACTGGGTTGATTGGTAAACCTCTTAATTTGATTCTTGTAAATTAAAATTACACATCAAAGAGGGTAGATAATCCACTATACTCTGAAAAATCACCTTAATTTAGTGTCTTGGGGAGAGCAGATGTTTTTACGAAAGAGTAATAAAGTCATAGTAATGAATTTCTTGGCAGACCAAACCTACATTATTGCATCAACTGCCCACAGGGCTAAGCATCTAGAGCAAAACGGTCATCTGAGTGTAAAAAGATTTGGACGAAGAAAACAAAAATGACGACCTTGATCAGGGAAGGGGATATCACTACTACAGGGTCTATAGGATCTCCCTCATCCTCTATGGACCAGAAACGTCAGCTGCCGAAGTGTACAGCGACCCCTGAGTTAGGGTCACCTAGGTTAAATATCATCTTCACTACATGATAAAACCTTATACCAGAAATCAGCCATCCCTGAAGATTACAGACAACAGGGGTATATAAATGGTGCTGTCAGATTTTATGAGGATGTAAGATGGATGACTAAAAGATGGATGATAAGATGCTGTCAGAGCGACATATGTAATGATTTTTACATATCTGACCAAACACATATAAAAATAATGTGTTAAAACAGTACATTTGTAGTAACAAATGTCTGGCTATAAATTTGTTTTGTGGGTTTTCTTCTTTTTTTTGGGGGGGGGGGTCGTCTTTAGTGAGGTGTGGGCTGTCAAAAGTAACTATTTATCATGTTTTTAAAATCCTGATTAACTGGTCACATTATACCGACAACAGGTTAACCATTACCCTTAATGCTAAACATTGAGCAGGGAATAACAACAACCATTTTTAAGGACTTTGGTATTATGTCCCGGCCTGGGGACAGAACCCATTGCCTTTCTCACCAGTGGGTGAACGCTCAATATGTTGGCCCTCAATCTGGGCTTATCACAGGGTATAATGGTAGCAGGGAGAAGATGTGGAGAATAGTAGTATTATATACGAGCTAGTCAGTTGACGTAGAGAATTTAGGAGCAGCTTCTAATATTAACTCATTCACCCCTGAAGACACATTTGAACCCTTCCAATTCAAAGCTTGGAATAGTTCATTATCAAATTTCAGGTGTGGATGAGTTAAGGTAAAGCACTGATGTGGTGAATTATTGCAGAATGATACTTATATTAAGTTTAAACTTAGCAGATTTGGAAAATAATTGCAAAATATACCATGTTAAATAAGTATGCAGATTTGTAGTGTTAATTAAGTGGCAGAAACCTACTAGGTAACGTTAACAAACTTCAATAGCAGTAAAGACATCTGTATACGTATAAGTACAGGAGTTAATTAGAATATTTCCAAAGGACACACAGTGTCAAGTGTACTATATGGAAAACACCTGGAAAATATTAAGAATTCCCTTACAAGCTTGATATAGAAACACATAGATACAAGAGGATATCAACAAACATATGTAGCACAGCATGAGCATATTTCGGCTTTATCTATGTAGCCTCTAGCATTCCGCCCTCATTATAACCATGTTAATTATAGCTATTATCTGTTTCTAATTTTATATCCAGTAAGTGCATTCCTGAACAATTACAGGAATCTACAGCTTATTTATATGTTTTTTGAAGTTTCAGGCTTCCGTAAAAATGCTGATACTTTTATTTTAACTCTGCCAAAACAAACAAAATCCATCTGATGATGTTTTCTGACACTAATCCTTGGCCTTGTAATGCTACCCTTTCTCCTGTTTCAATTGTATCAGAATATTTCTACATCATGCATCACAAAGCAATATAAACAGGTCCGTAATTCCCTAGACTTTCCGAGATTGCCTCGCATTTGCAAGATTCCTTTGGATGTTATGCTTAAATGCATATCAATCGTCTTATATGAAAAATTGGAATTTTGAATTTCACTTTCAAGTTTGAAAATCAATACATATCTGTTGTTCAAAATAACAACTTTAGCTTGAACAGTGTTCCTTTTTCACATTTTTCGCAATGTTTGAACTTCTGAACTTAGGATATATCAGAAGCCACTGAAAGCTCACATGATAAAATTTTTCAACCAACCGTTCTTTACAACTATCAATTGATATAGCAATTTTCAATCCAAAAAGTGAAACCCAAATTTCGTATTTTTTTCATAGGAAAGTGAACGTACAGGTGGAGGGCACTCAAGCACAACACACAAAGGAATCTCACAAATGGGAGACTATCTTAGAAGTCTTAGGAAATTCCAACATGATAAACAGCCCAAATTTTCACGAACAAATAAAACAAATAACTCAACTTACCTGTCTTCCAACTTCTTTGCGAAACCAAAATCTGTGATTTTTAAATGTCCTTCCTTATCGAGAAGTAAGTTTTCTGGTTTCAGGTCTCTATAGACAATTAATTTGGAGTGTAAGTAGTCTAACGCTGACACAATTTCACATGCATAGAAATTGGACTTGTCATTGTTGAAGCGGCCATGATTGCGAAGATATGAAAAGAGTTCACCACCAGGAACGTATTCCAACACCATGTACAGGAATCTGTCGTCGTGATACGCCCACGTCCTGTAAATCATAAACATGTTGGAATTACTTCATTTTGCTTTCATCATATCATGTGTTAAACACATATGCTATCTTTAACACTATACAATGTACTTTGGATTAGTGAAAGAGTTATCTCCCTTTTTTACTCTAGCATAATATGCAATGATTTGGATATATGTATAGTTGTTGTCAATGATGGGTTTTTTTTCTCTCTCCAAATACATGTATGTAAGGCTAATACCTATTTTGAGGATTAGTAGGGCTGCAACAATGTCATATCTCACGATATGATACATATCACATTATTATGTACGATATGATATGTATCACATTATTATGTACGATATAATACATACCACATTATTATGTACGATATGATACATATCACATTATTATGTACGATATGATACATATCACATTATTATGTACGATATGATACATACCACATTATTATGTACAATATGATACATACCACATTATTCTGTACGATATGATACATATCACATTATTATGTACGATATGATACGTATCACATTATTATGTATGATATGATACATATCACACTATTATGTACGATATGATACATATCACATTATTATGTACGATATGATATGTATCACACTATTATGTACGATATGATACATATCACATTATTATGTACGATATGATACATATCACATTATTATGTACGATATGATACATATCACGATACACATATCTGCTCAAAAGGTCAACTGCATAATGATTAAGTTAAGGATTTTACAGAGTTTGGTCATAGACTTATTAGTAATACTGCTAATTTGAAGTGGGCTGGAGAATAAGATGATGTCACAACATTTTTTCGTGGATATATGAGTCAAGACAGAGCCCGTACTCATAAAACCACTCTCATACTCAAGACTGGATTTTGTGCTAAAATCTACTTTCTTGCAACTCACTTAAATCATATGACAATTGGTCAAATTCTTCCAAATCATTGACAAAATGTGTTGTTTTAATAAATTATTGCCAAAACTAAATATATATAAGCTTTAGCACAGAATTTGAGTTTGAGCATGAGAATGGTTTCATGAATAGGGGCCCGGGCCACACCTGTTTTTGTGGGTAGGTTTTGGGAGTTGGTGGAGTTGGTGGAGTAGGGGAGGGAGGAGGGCTATAGAATTGGGTCACACCAGTTTGTATGGGTATTGGTTGATATATGGTAAGGTTGGATAGAGCTT